TTTTCAATTAAGATTTAAAATGTTAATGCTTCTATATATTACAGAAAGACTTTAAGGGAGTTTAAATTTCTTTTTTAAACCAGTTTTTTAATGTTTTTAAAAGTGTTTTTATTATTGTTTGTACTTAAAGAGCTTCAATTTAGAATCATTTTTAAGCAAAGTCTGACAATGTAAGTTTCTTTAATAAAAGCTGCTAATCTATTATAAGATGTTACAGTTTATGTTTTCAGAAGTTAAGCTTAAGCAAGCAGCTAAAATGTGTACATGTGGCTACTATTTAAAGAATATAAGGTAACTATATGCAGTTTTAAATTCAACTGTGCTAAGTTTCAAATATTTTAGTAAGTTAAAACCGGTTACAGTCAGACTGAAAATTAATTAATTACAGAAATAAGGCCTTACCTAGCCACCTGTGTGCTTAATGTATGCTTAAGGCAAGTAACTAAAACAGACAGACAGACCTCTAATACTTCAGAGACCTGCAGAATATGGCATTTAAAATGTTATTTTAAAAGTTTATAATATCAGAAAGACTGACAGATCCTAACAGTGACCCAAAGTCTCCAAAGAAGATTATGAGGTACCCCAGTTCCTGCACCTGGACCAGTGAGCGAGATGCTCAGATGTGATACCTGCTGCCTGCCAGGATCTGGCCAAGACTGTGGATAGAGAAAAAACCTCTCACCTTATAGGCCTGGTGAAGATTGCTGTTCTTTGATATTTCTGCCTCCCACACTAATGGAGAGTCTTGGGTATGGCTAACTATATATGGACTGGCTTCTAACTGGCTTCTGTCATTTTTTAGTAGATTCAGAAACTGCATAAAATTTACCCTTCTCAGATCTCTGAAAGTATTAGTGGTTGTCAGCTTGGCAACATCAGGCAGTCAGATCCACAAGACTATAGTCAGCATGTTAGCTGATAAAGTAGTGACTACCTACTGTTCAGTCACAAGCTCAAGGTTTTTAGGTTTATTTTGGATATCATCTAAGTATAAGCTTAAAGGACTTTTCATCAGGCCAAAGGCACCTCTGTCCAATCCATACCTGGCTTTCTGGACAGAAGACAAATGTACATGCTTCTAGCCCAAATCTGTAGTTTTTGCTAGGACTCGAAGTTATAAATATGTTCCTGCCTTTTGAATAGATATCCAGATATCTGCTTTTTCTGCACTGTGGGCTTCAGTAAATAAGTTTTAACTTCTGTTCCTAGTTTAAACATGTCTTAAACAGGTTTCTGCTTCTGGCAGACACATCTGAGTATCAGTTGCTGACTACAGGCTGTTCCTAAGTAGACTGCCAGCCCTGGACTTACTGTGGATGTGGACCAGTCCAGCTGATGCAGACACCCCCTGTCTCTGCAACAGAGTCTGCCAACCAGAAGCTCCTGATGGATTCCCATTGCCTAAATTCTCTGTTTTGCTTTTGACTAGCATTTCAGCCTTCTTGGGTCCTTAACTTCGTCCCAATGTCAGCAGGAAGTAGCATGGGAAAGAATACATAGCCCATTTTCCCTGGTTAAAATGCTAAGTCAGAAGGAACTCCCTTATATAGGGGATGCCAATACCTCTCACTCCCTGATGGGGACACTGGAGAGACAGCAATTGCATGATTGGAATCTCTAAAACAGAAAATGGGGAAATGATGGGACGAGCTTCCCATTTCGGCAGCCATAACAGCCTAGCACATGCTTGCCTGACCTTGCCTTGGTCATTAGGAGGTCAGATGCCTGCCTCGTGGCAAGGAACCAATCAGAAGTTAGCTGGTGGTGCTATGCTTTACGGCTCTGGGTGTGCTTTACGGACAAGTGCACAGCAATGACGCACAGAGCATAGCAATTCCCCTGGGAGGGCCTATGGGCCATAACAACCAGTTGACCAATCAACACAGGGCAAGCCTGGAGGCACACCAATCCTGGGCCTGTGCACACCCCTAGACACTCCCCTTATGCTACAGTGGCTTCGCAGCACCTTTCCTAGCCATCTGCCATGGTGGATGGATGAAAGGCCCGAGTTAACATGGGGGTAGCCCGTTAAACAATTGCAATAAAGTCTCGTGCTGTTTGCATAAAAAAGATATAGATTCTGACTAACAACTGGAGTCTTTGAGATATGAAATCTTAGCAGAGAGCAGCCCACATGGCCTCAGGAGCTGATCTCATTGCTTTCTGAACAGGCTTCAACCTTGGGCTAAGGTCAGACCAGGCTATCCACAAAGAATCAGCAATTCCTTGCACATGGTACCAATGTTTTTGATAATTGTCATTAAATTATCCTTCCTGTGGTGTGTCCATAAAGTGAGTTCACCTCTGCTTAGAAAAGCAAAATCTGCTGTGATGTCTGCGAGTGAGGGGCAAGCACCATCTTCTCTCAGCCACAGCCTGGCCCTGCTCAGACTGGCCCACCAATGCAGAACACCGTTATTCTGTCAAATCCCAGAGCCATTGAGGTAACTGCAGGGGATTTAGGAGTCCCTGAGAGGATTCCCTATAGTCAACAGACAGGCATCCTGGTCCACAGATGCTGCAGTGCTGGCCAGCAGGATGAAGACAAGTGCCATTCCCGAGCCCGGCGTGAGGTCTATTCTAGTGCACACAGGCTGGTGTGGTGCTACTGTGAGCAGCCATGCTTTCCCAGGAGTGCTGGTTAAGGACACCTGTGCCTTCCACGAGGCTCCACTGAGAAAAACCCCAGGCTTCTCTTGCTTCTTATAGCCGGAATGTGAAGTCCAGAATACTAGGTGTCTATGATCATGGCTTTCTAACCACAGCTCCAAATGGATGTCAGCAAATCCTAAAGGAAGCCTGGGCACTCTTCTCACTGGTCACACACAGTTTCTGGTGGCCTGACATCCCAGAACTGCTTTCTGAGGACTGGCATTTGCATCTATGGAAGTGATCCATAAACATGCATAAGACATAGGTGGGCTGAGTGTGGTGGTATATGCTTTAATCCCAGCATTTGGGAGGCAGAGGCAGGAGGATCTTGGAGAGTTTGAAGCCAGTCTGACCTACATACAGTTCCAAACTCATCTGGCTACATAGTGAGATCCTGTCTCAAAAAAAAATGACCCAGAGACAGTTCTGCAGCTGAGAGGTTTGGCTGCTCTAGCAGAGGGACCAGTTTCAGTTCCCAACACCCTCACAGAGTTTATAGCCATCTGCAACCCCAGTTATAGGAGATCTGACACCATCTTTGGACCTCTGCAGGCACCAGGCTCACATGTGGTTCACAGACATAAGTGCAGACAAATACTTACAGTTCTAAAAGGAAATAGGTAATTCTAATTTTAAAAGAAATTATAACTATAAGAAATGAAAGAAGCCAGGTAGTGGTGATGAACACCTTTTCTTCTAGTACTCAGGAGGCAGAGGCAGGTGGATCTGTGAGTTCGAGGCCAGCCTGGTCTACAGAGAGAGTTCCAGAACAGCCAGGGCTACACAGAGAAACCCTTTCTTGAAAAAGCAAAAAAGGAAAATAAATAAATAAAAGAGCTTAAATACTACTCACATCACGATAGTCAAAAATGGTGCCAAATAAAGGCAGGGGTTTGGGTCCAGGAATTCCAAGTTTCTTAAAAGTCCCATGAGAATAGGTCCCATATCTGTAAAGTAACAGAGAAATCCAAGTTGCTGGGATTGTGATTGTGACTTTACACAGATGGACTCAGGTCAGTCATTGACTCAGGAACTGCAAAAATCAAACCACAGAAGTAACATCCAGGCAACAAATAGCAGTAAAAACCCAAACAGCTACAATCCCAATTGTTCACCTCCTCCCAGTGTCCACTAAGTAGGCCACCCTAGTTTATATGATGGGATAGGGACAATGGAGGCTTTAATGCTTCCAGTCCAAGAGACCATAATTGATGAAAAACCCTTGACTTGGATTTTAGACTCCCTGAAAGAGTCAGGCTTGAGGCTTCCCAGGGTGTTTCATTTCCTCCTGTCCATTTAGAAAATTCCATGAAGCAATGACTCTCATTAGCTAAGGGGGTTTTATTTGCATAACTGAATGCACTTAACGGCATAGGGCATTGGAGACCTTACGGTATTGTTCTTCAAGATTGGCCAGAGACATGTTTCTCCTTTTCTCTAAACTATGAACTTGTTAAAGGCTCTAACTGTTCTGAAAAGTTCCTTTCTAGAAAGATCTGGAAGCATCATGAAGTTCTGTCCATATAATTATTATGTCCATATAATGACAATTGAGATCATGGATGCCACTGGTTTCAGAGAAATTTCAGAGATTCCCAAGATTCTCTGTCTTGCAATCTGGTGGGCTTGTGCTATATGGAAGGCTGCTTTCCAGTGTGTTCCCTTAATGACTAAGGCATCATTTCCAGGCCATTCCTCTCCTAGGTTAATATGGACCTCTAACTGGTGATGCTCATCTGGTGGTCACTGTGTCAGGGAGATTCTTATTTATCATGATGGTCAGTGTGGTGGTTTGAATGAAAATGGCACCCCATAGGCCATAGGGAGTGGCACTATTAGGAGGTGTGGCCTTGTTGGAGGAAGTATGTCATTGGGGGTGGGCTTTGACGTTTCAGATGCTCAAGTCAGGCCCAGTGTCATTCTTTCTTCCTGCTGCCTGTAGATCAAGATGTAGAACTCTCAGCTCCTTCTCCAGCACCATGTCTGCCTGCATGCCACCATGCTTGCCACCATGATGGTAATGGACCAAACTTCTGAAACTGTAAGCCAGGCCCAATTAAATGTTTTTACCATGATCATGGTGTCCCTTCACAGCAACAGAAACCCAATTAATACAGAAATTAATACCAAGGACTGGAGTATCACTGTGATAGACCTGTCCATGCTTTTATTTGGAGGCATATGGACTTTGGGACTTTGGATTAGAAAAGCAGCTGAATGTTTTAAGTGGACCTTAATGGGCCGTACTAGGAACATGGAAGCCAGTAGCACTGGAGTAATTGGAACTGTGGAGGTCTGGCTCAAAATGTTTCAGAGGAGAAGAATATTAATATATGGCCTAGAAGCTGTTCTTACATTTTGGCAAAGAATGTGACTACTTTCTGCACTTGTCCAAGATATCTACCTGTGGCTAAATTGAAGAGTTATGGATTAATAACTTTGGCAGGGGAGACTTCCAGACAGCCTAGTATTTACTGAATTGCTTTGTTATTAGAGGCCACACACAGATTTATAATGAAAAAGAGCAAGCTGAGAGAGGAAAAATACAAAATGTACAGTTTGAGGAGAAAAGAGACACCAAACCGTGCAAACAGATTAAAGAAAAGCCTGAAGCAAAGTAGAATAAAGGGAGTGGTGACCTTAGAGCGAGACTCCACCAAGACAGGCTTCCAACTTGTGAAAAGTAATTAAAGAAAAGCTTATGGCAGCATGGTGGCACACAACTTTACTCCCAGCATTCATGGGCAGAGGCAGGTAGATCTCTGAGTTTGAGGCCAGCTTTGTCTATAGAGCAAGTTCCAGGACAGCAAAGGTTAGGCAGTAAAGGAAAATGCTTAAAACAGAAAGCTGGTGAAGATGTATTTGAACAAGAGGGCCATGTTCCAGCCCCAGGAAGCAACAGAACTTGGCAACTTCAGCCATGTGGTTCTGGTTTTAGAGTCAAGGATAGAAGAAATGGGTTATGGAATCCCCCTTCACAGCTAAGGAAAACCACTGAGGTCAGGTGTATATCAAAGGTGTCCCTGCATGGAGGCCTAGAGAGGCCATTGTGACATGGACTGCATGGCTACCATTGTTGCTGGACAAAGTTTCAGCATTTCTACTTGGAGGATCACAATTCTACAGCACCATTTTACTTTCATTTTTAATGATTGTCATGGTATATTATGTGAGTTCCCTTATGCCTTTCCTTTGGGAAATTTCATGCAGGCTTCAAGGATGAAAATCTATAAAATGGCAGCCATCCTAATTCACTCTCAGATCACATCAGTCCCCTCCTTCTCCTTGCTGACTCCACACCTCCTCTTTGGGACCTGAACCCTGCCAGAGCTGGACTTTGACACCATTGTGAAGCTGTGAGTGTGAAGCCTGGATTGCCTTAGAGACTCCAAAATATTGGAGATGCCAGAGTTGTGAGATACCTGCCTAGGAGAGCTGCTAAAAAGGTGTGTGGGACCAGCCCAAGAGAAAGAAGTATGTTGCAGTCAATAAAGCTGCTTTGAGTTGGAGATCTGAAGAATGCTTTGACCTCAGACGTGGAGATGCAGAGTTTGGAGATTTCCCAGCTGGTTTTCAGTCTTGCTTTGGTCCAGTATTTCCTCATTATGTTCCCTTTCTTCCATTTTGGAATGGTAATGTATACTATATGTTGTACAAATATTGGAAGTATGTGATCTGTTTTTCATTTTGATTTTTACAGGGGATTACAGTTAAGAGATTACATGAGTCTCAGAGAAGACTTTAAGACAGTGCTGATACTGTGATATCAACACTATCCTGTGCCGACCTTGTGATATCAGACTATGGGAACTTTTGAAGGAGGTGGAACGTGGGGGTTTGAATGAAAATAGCCTCTATAGGAGCATAGGAAGTCACATTGTTAGGAGGCGTGACTTTGTTGAAGTAGGTGTGTATTTATTGTCACTAGGGGTGGGCTTTGAGGTTTCAGATGGTCAGCCAAGCCCAGTATCACTCTTTCTTCCTGCTGCCTGTAGATCAAGATATAAAACTCTCAGCTCCTTCTCCAGCAACACGTCTGCCTGTATGCCACCATGCTTTCTGCCATGATGATAATGGACTAAACCTCTGAAACTGTAAACCAGCCCCAATTAAACACTTTTTTATATAGGACTTGCCATGGTCATGGTGTCCCTTCAAAGCAGTAGAAGAGTGACTAAGACAGTTAATCGTAAAGGAGAAAGCTTATGGCCTGTATGTGTCAACTCAGCATGTGCAAAGTTCTACTAAGGCAGGTGCTCTCTGGGCCAAGACTGCCATCACTGATAAGGGTTCATGATGCTACATACCTCCTAACTCCAATGGGACTCACACATACCAGATGTGGGAGAAGATGCAAGACTGAGGGAAGGTGATTCTGGAGACCATTGTAAGCTTCACAAGATAGTCACACAAGGAGAGTCTGATCACAGGAAGTTTAGAAATTATAGAAGAAATGGATATTTTGTATAAAGGTTTGGCCTGAACCAGAAATTCTTTGATTTACAAGACAAAGGACCTTCAGTATGTCAAGTTACTCTCTATTGATAACAGATGAAGTAAATGACACAAAATATGAAACTGTACATGTTCCAGACATGCATATAAATCATCCATCCCTTATTTTTAATTAAAATTAATTATTTCATGTATGCGAGTGTTTTATAAGAAAGCTGGCTAAGTGAGCCATGGAGAGGAAGCCAGTAAGCAGTGTTCCTCCATGGCTTATGCTTTAGTTCCTGCTTCTGGGTTCCTGCCTTGAGTTCCTGCCCTGGCTTCCCTTCATGATGGACTGTAAGCTGTAGAGTGAAATAAACTTTCCTCCTCAAGTTGCTTTTGGTCATGCATGATCGTTATCACAGGAGTCGAAAGCAAATTAGAACATAGGTACCATGTGACTTCGTGGAAATTGCGTTGGAAGCAATAAACACCCATATCCACAGGGAACCAGTCATATATACATCACTAATGATGTCAAAAGAGAGAAGGAAAAGAAAATGAGAAAAAAACTAAGTAACTAGGCTGTCGGATTTTCAAAAGCTTGGATTGGCCATGGCTGCTAAAGTGCTAGCTTTATTTCAGTCACTGTGCTAAAATACTCCATAGGAAGCAATGTTGGGGGGAAGGGCTTATTTTCCTTACAACTCTGTGTTGTAGTCTATTGTGTCTGGAAAGTCTTTGCTTTTTTGCTTTCATCTAGTTTTCTTTTGTCTTATATAGCTGCATAGGGTTTGCTGTCACCCACAAAGACCTGGGTCTTCCTGCATCAATTAGCCATCAAAACAATCCTTCACAGGGTTGCCTACTGATCAACCTGCCCTAGACAATCTCTCAATTAAAACTCTCTTCCTAGGTAATTCTAGGTTGTCTGTCAAGTTGGTAGTTAGAAACTAACCAGCACAGCAGCCAACTGTTAATGATACCACACAATTGTTGATTAGTCAAGGAGCATACTGAGAGCCAACTGCATTATTACTATGGAGGCAAGTCTCTTCCAAACCCTCTGAGCCATAAGAGTGGGAGGGAACCATAAGTGTGAGAGTTCAAGGGATCAGCAATAGCATCAGTAGGACCTGCACTACCTAAGTGTTTATTTCAACTTCTCCTCCATGTTCTCTTCAGATGTTCCAACAGGAAAATGAAAGGGGGGTCTGCATATCACCCCAACTCCAGTTACAGATAGGGGAGGAGCCTGGACAACTACTCACATGTAGATGAGCACCAGGCTGGTAGCCAGGAGCACCCAGGTTTCTATGGAAAGGTTGAGGAACAGCTCCATCTCCGCTTTCCTCCAGCAAGTGGCTCCAAGTTTCCCTCTAAACTGTGCCAAGCAGAGATCCAATGAGTCCAGACTGCTGTGTTTATGCACTGGGAAAGGAGGAGGTGTCAAGGATGCAGCCAATAGAAGGGCCACTTGCACACTGCCCGAACTTGGAGAACTGGCAAGCCTCTCCATGTGGCATTGAATTCCCCTACTCTGAACTTTGAGTTTACATTCTGTGTATATTTGCTCTTTCAGAAACTCAAATTGATTGGCACTACTTTCTTCTAATTTGCAGTTGTGTCCATGGCTGTTCTCATACCAAAACAAATTAAGTCCATGCAACTAAACTATAGCTACTGATCTTTACCTATGTAAGGCCCCCTTCCTTTAAGGCCCCTGTGTGCTCTAGAAGATGTGAAACCCACAACTGAAAACCACTTCCCACTCTGCACTGCTTTGTTCCTTGGCACAAAACACAATTGCTTTTCTCTGTACTCTAACAGTATTTTTCCTCTTTATGGCATTTCACAGCACCCCTTCCCATTCTCCAGCTCTTACATTCTTCCCATCTTTTCTGCAGTATTCCCTGACGCTTTGGTATGAGGGTTGATATAGACATCTCATTACAGCAAGATAGTCACTGTGTCTCTTTTAATCGATCCTTATCAAGTCTGTTGGATATGTTATGGTGACATTCTCATTATCACTTTATAGACACAGAGGCAGGAAGAGGTAAAAGATGTGTCCAAGACTGAATCATGAAGGCAGAAAACAGAATTCTGATGAGTTATAATTTTGTAGATAGTGTGTATGCTTGTCTTTGAATGGGCTCCTGGGTACCCTACTGATTGAGTCAGCATCACACAAAGTAAATATTTCCTTGTACACCTCCTAAAAGTACTCCTCGTGTAGCCAAAAATGGTTACAATGTGGCTTTGTAAACACAAAACCCACACAAGCATCTTACTAGCCATTATTAAATTGTGAGTTCTTCTGCCCTAGGAACTTCATGCCTTTATTTCCCAAGTACTAGGATGCTATTCAAAATGGCTATGAAGTGGACTTTGAGGTCAGTGGAAGGTAGTTACTTTCCTATTCCTGCGAAAAGATGCTATGACCACGACAACTTACAGAAGAAAGAGTTTATTAGGGACTACACTTTCAGAGGGTTAATCCATGACTATCATGACAGGAAGCAAGGCAACAAGCCATGGTTCTGAAGCAGTAACTGAGAACTTACATGTTGAGAAAAGAGCTTTCTGCTATCTAGAACATGTTGCAATTCGAGTGAAGACTTAACTAATGATGAAAAGGATTGATTTTTGTCTTGTAGAACCATCAGCCTGGGACAATCCTTGCTAAATATTAAACTAAGACCTCGTCTAACCACATGAACTTCATGAATTTCAGTTTGCCCTTACTCTGTGTTGGAAACTCTGACAATAGTGATTCATCTCAGTACAAAAGTACACACTTAGGAACAACTCCAGTGTTGGCCTTGGCAAGTCAAGATGCCTTTGACAGTTTTCCTTCAGGTAACGTACAATGAAATGGAACCTAGAGAGGGTTATGGAAAAGTCACCAATAATGACATGGACTTAATACTTTCCTGTAACAGTGCCTCACTGACATGTCTTTGTTGATGATGAAACAAATATCTCAACCTTGAATCTCTAGGAGGTTCAGAATTCCTTTCTTCTTTTCCTCCCTCCTTCCCTCCTTCTCTCCATCCATCCATCCATCCCTCCTTTCCTCCATCTCTTCCTTCCTTTCAAGTTTGTTTGGTATTTTTATCCATTCATTTTAAATGTTTTATGATCACACTCCCCCCATCACCCACCCTATCATCTCCCCATTATTCTCACTTATCCCCCTGCCACTCCTACTGACTCCTTCTTTTAAAAAGAAATATTTATTTTAACATTATGTGTATTGTTGGGAGACAAATCTCAGGGCTGGGCATGAGCTCCTAGGCCATGCTTGGCAGGCCACATAGTTAACCTTTACATAGCAGCTCCTTAGAACCTCAGCTCAAGAAAAGAAACAACTTGACCCAGTCCTCCACCCACAGGCTCAGTCACCTAGGCAACCCCTTCCTGGACCTCTTACTCAAGAACTCTTTACCCTGACAAACATCCTCTTTGTGGCTTCCTAATATCCTGCCTATACCAACACCTGGTGCACAAACAACCCATTCTGCCCCTCCCCATATCCTGACTATATAAGCTAGCCTGAGAAAAAAGTAAAGTTTGCCACTTGATCAGAATCCTGTCTTGTGGTCATTCTTTCTGAGTATCTGGTCCCCATTCCCTATCCTTGACTCTCTTGCCCCAGGTTGACGTACTGCAGGTCAGGACAGTGTATGAGTGCTTGCCTGCATGCATGCCTGAGCACCATGTGTGTGCAGTGCAAGCAGGGGACAGGTGAGAGCATGGGAACTTGGCTAAAGAGGGTTGTGATCTGCCATGTCCATGCTGAGAATTGAACTGGGATCTTTTTCAAGAGCAGCCAGTGGTCTTACTGGCAGAGCCATCTCTGCAGCCCTTCAGTTCTTCTAAACTAGCCTGTGACACACATCAGGGTCTTCTTTTCATACAGCTCAGGTGCGGGTAGCCACAGCTGCTGTGGGTCCATGACTGTAACAACCTTGTCATATCTAAAAGATAACATTTCAAAGTATTTTCCCCACCCCCATCCTCCAGCTCTTACAATCTCAGAGAGTCTCTCCTTGGCAGATATAATCTATGGATACGACATTAACTGTCTTTTATGGCAGTAGAGTTGTTCCTAGTCTGTACTTGAGGAGAGTTGATTTCAACATCTCCACCTGCCTGAGATAGGCTGGTTAAAGTCTAAACTAGCTAAGGCTTCTGTATGAGCTGAGGTCATACTTTGACGTTCAACAAAGATTATGTGTGCAAGTCAGCACTATAAGAAGCAACAAGTATGTGAGTTTTTTGTTCTATTTTGTTTATTGGCATTCAAACATCTACTTTGTCTTAAAATTTTTTATTAAAGTTTTTTTTCTTACAATATATTTGGTCATGTTTCCCCCTTCCCCAATTCCTCCCTGCCTGATCCTTAGATTGAAATCATTCATTATTTTCTCTGGTGTGTGTGTGTGTGTGTGTGTGTGTGTGTGTGTGTGTCTTAAATAAAAATACAGACTGCCTTAGTTAGGGTTTCCATTGATGTGGAATGGAACTATGGCCATGGCAACTTTTATAAAGAAAAACATTTAATTTGGGTTTACTTACACTTTCAGAGGTTTAGTTTATTATCCTTATGGTGGAATACAGGCAGACATGAAGCTAGAGAGGTTTCAGAAGAAGCTACCTGCAATTGATACTCCTTGGCAAAGGAAACACCTGATTTTCCCAATGGGATCTCCCTATGTATATTGACCACATCTTGGGCAGGACCATGACCAGGAGTAGTTGACTAACACAAAGCAACTACTTTTTAAAGGTTCTGTTTTGATTTATATTTCCTGGGGGAAAGGATTAGAGAGATCTTGATTTTCAGTGGCCAGTCCTAAAGCTGTTCCAAGGCATAAGTTCCTGGAGTGAACTGAATTCCCTTTCTCAATGCTCCTAGAGTGGGGTGATTATATTAAGTTCACAAGGTTGGCTGATTTTTTTGTTTAATATTCAACAAAGTTTATGGTAGTAAGTTAGCATGGCAGGGAAATATCAGGTAGGAGTTGCTATTGATTTTGCTCAAGTTGCAACATATTCTGACTTGCTGGTCTTAACCACCACCACCGTCACTGCCACCACCACCTCTACCTCCACCACCAACACCATCACCACCTTCACCTCCACCTTCTTCCCTGCCATGTCTCCTCAGCCTGCATTTTGAACTCATGGCACACTATTAGTAACCGAGACAATGTATTTCTAAGGGCACAGAGCAATTAGGAGTGAAATTGCCTCCGCATGTTCAGGCGAGTGAACTAGAGTTAGTTGTTTCATAACTCTGTTTGTCAAGATAAGCAAGAGAGCGGTGTATCTTAGTAGATGCCAGAAGTAAGAGGGGTTGCAGAAGCAGGACACAGCCATCTTATTCAAAGCTACAGGCACAGTAGGAGACTTTAAATCATTCTAATCCTCCATGTCATTAGGATTTACTCTTATCATCTGAATAAATGACAATTCCAAATAATAATAATAATAATAATAATTCATGGAACTATTTATGATTCATTGACATAAACAGCAAAGCATTTGAGATGGTTGCTTCACATGGTGTGAATTCTCCCTGTGGACTATTTGTTCTGCTGACTTATTCCTGAAGCTGTGCTCCCTGGAAAAGGCTACAGGAATGACTTTTCACGGAACAGAGGGGTATCACCTGTGGATGCAGCGATTCTGGTTTGGATGCTGTTGGATAAGGGAAAGGTGACAGGGACCTCTGCTCACTGCAGATGGCTAATCAAGGACAGATGGCAGAAACATTCCTCCACAGTGCAACTTGGTGAAGCAGTTGAGATTATTGGGGTCTCTTACAGGAATACGGGTGAGGGGGTGACTTACTGGATCAGACAGTACTCAAAGGCAGCTGCACCATCCAAAGCCCACCTTGGGATAGGTGACAGGTCACCCAAACTGCATCCCTAGGGCACAATGCATGACTTGCAGGCATTGGACAGTCCAGTCTCTCCTCTAGGCTGAGCAGCGGGTCCGAGAGCTCCCTCCTCAGCAAGTGTTTATTGCCTCTTTTGCTTGGAGAGGAGCCTTGCAGACCTTTTTAGTTTCAGCATAAGAGTGTTTACTTCCTGAATCCCAGGAGCCTCCTTCCTTCCTCTAGGAGAGAATGCCTCAATTCAAAGGAAATCATTACACATCAGACATTTTAAACTTTTTCTCCATTTCTTAGAGATATAAATAGATAACACATTTGGGATGAAAGGTAAAATTCCCCATGGGGGAAGTGGCTGAGCTGCAGATCACTCGGCAAAAGCAATGAATTCTGCAAATAGTTTTGGGAACCATCATCAGTATGTCATGGATGTT